CCTGCTACGAACCCGTGCTGGTTTCCCCTCAGCATAATTTGTCCTGCCGGGCTCTCGCAAATGTGAGCCTTGATAATTTTTTCAAAGACTTTGCCAAGGATGGAGGTGAGACTGACTGGCCTATAGTTGCCCGGGTCCTCCTTCCTCCCCTTCTTGAAAATTCAGCTGTCATCTTATTATAACTCTTATGTGTACACCATGATCCAGGGGATTGATGTTTGCCTGTTACAATTGTACAAAAATAGGGCTAGAAGAGACCTGAGGAGGTCATAGATTCATAGATGTTAGGGTCAGAAGGAACCTCAATAGATCATCAAGTCTGACCCCCTGCATAGGCAGGAAAGTGTGCTGGGTTCAGATGACCCCAACCAGATGCCTATCTAACCTCCTCTTGAAGACCCCCAGGGTAGGGGAGAGCACCACCTCCCTTGGGAGCGCATTCCAGATTTTGGCCACTCTAACTGTGAAGAAGTTCCTCCTAATGTCCAGTCTAAATCTGCTCTCTGCTAGCTTATGGCCATTATTTCTTGTAACCCCCAGGGGCGCCTTGGTGCATAGAGCCTCACCAATTCCCTTCTGCGCCCCCATGATGAATTTATAGGCAGCCACAAGGTCGCCTCTCAACCTTCTCTTTCGGATGCTGAAGAGGTCAGGTGCCCTAGTCTCTCTTCATAGGGCTTGGTCTGCAAGCCCTTAACCATACAAGTGGCCCTTCTCTGGACCCTCTCCAGGTTATCCACATCCCTCTTGAAGTGCGCCTCCCAAAACTGGACACAGTATTCCAACTGCGGTCTGACCAATGCCCGATTGAGGGGAAGTATCACCTCCTTGGTTCTGTTTGTCATGCATCTGCTGATGCATGATAAAGTGCAGGTAGCTTTGCTGATGACTTCGACACACTGACGTCTCATTTTCATCTTGGAGTCCACTAGGACTCCAAATCCCTTTCTGCTTCCATGCTGCCGAGCAGGTCATTTCCTAGGCAGTAGGTGTGCTGGACATTTTTCCTCCCTAGGTGCAGCACTTTGGTCATCTAGTCCAACATCCTGCTCAAGATGGGACCATCCATGTCAGAAAAGATTTATCTTCAAACGCGAGAAGAAAACCAGAACCCTTTTTGACCTTGTATTGGAAGATGCAGAACACAGTGACTTTTGAAGGCCTAGAAGGATTGAATATGGAAAAGTAGAAAACCATAAATAATATCTTTCACCATTAATTTGTGTCAATTTGGAATGCATTTGAAAGAAGAGCTAAATCTCATGTTATCTGTGTTTACAAAAGGTCATTTTCTTATTTGGTTTCGTACACTTACTTTAGCAGAGTGTACAATTATTAGCCTAACTGTGTTTACTTGCCCCAAAGATTCAAAATTATAATGTCTTCTTTACAGTTTACCAAATTACTGCATTATCTTGCAGTAATTTCCAGAAAATTATGCACTACTTATGGTTTCCCTCCCACATTTTATTCCAAACTGCTTCTTCCTATGTGTTTTAAAAGAAATTAGCTAACTTCTGTTAACTTGGTTGAGGAGTGGTATTTGCTTTGTGTTTATGTAGTATAATGGATTTTAGTCTGGATTTTGTTTTGTAGCCATTTCTGCACTATAAATACTATGGACCCTGAACTAGTGGTTAAAGGTTCTGAGCCTAGAGGTCCATAACACTAACATGGTTAAGGCACACCAGCTTCTATAACCAATGACGCTCAAGCGAGGGAAGTGCTTAGCATCATATGCAACTACCTGTTGATTCCCCTGTTTGAATGACCTAGTAATGACTTACATTTGAGACACTTGTCATGGTCTGCAGCTTAAATTTCTACCTCTGGAGCTATAGCAAGAATATACCGACACTGATACCTACCCTAGAATAGCTGTATTTCTTGTTCTGCCTGATAAAGGCCTTGGTCTTTCACAGTTACTGGCTGGGCTGGATAGATGGGTTGAAGTTTCTCTTTTTTTTTTTTTGGAGACATGTAAGGTGCGCACGCTCACTCTCACGCTCACCCTTGCTCTCAACTTGGTGCTGAAAAATTTTGAAATCTTGAAAAACTTAGTGGATGGAAAAATCATCTCCCATCCAGTGGTACCTATTAAGTATTGCATCAGTGAGAGTTGAACGTTCTAGCTACTGTGAAGGATGTACTCAGCACAATATTTTAGTATAATGTTTGTAAAAAAAGAAAACAAAAAACCAAACAAACCTCATTACACTCATTATGTTGTAACTTTTAAAATTAATCCCACTTCGCAAAAATTACTACTTAATATATGTAACCCAATTACTTTGCCTGAAATAGCTAATTAGAATATAAGAACAATAAAGATGAACTGTTCCATAAATATTGGATAGTTTTTTATTTGTACCAGTATGTAGTTTTTAACTGAGATATTGTACTGCGTTTAAATGTTCAAGTTTCCTAATATGTAATATTCCTTTGTTTAACAGGACTTGCCTGAAAAGTGGAATGCCACAAAAAAAATTGCCTTGTCTGTAAAGCATGCAGTAGCTCCTCTTCAGACTGCTGAGGTCACAGTTATAAGAAAAAAATGTGGTTTGTTTGATGTAAGATAAATTCTGAACTCAGAATTCTAATGTGTTCTGATGAGAACAGGATCATTGACAGAATTTATTTGTGTGAATTTCTTTCATTAGAGAAAGCAGATGGAATTCAGAGAAAGATTTAAAGTGAAAGCTCCCTTTCACTTTGCTGAAAAAAATCCATATGTTCTTCTTGATAAGGTAAAAGGAAAATCTCCAGAAGTGCATATTCTTCTAGTAATCTTTCAGTACAAAATTTAAAGATGTTTCAATTTACATATTAAAATAAATGGGCATTTTCTATTTGGCATGAAACTCTTAGACACATAGAAGTTAAATCTTAAATTTACCAATCTGTAGATCTTTACATAAGTATCAACACCACCTTGCATGGGTTTTTTTTTCTTTCACCGATTGCCCAGTAAGTCAGAAATGCATATTTATTCCATTAAAACAAATACAACAGTGATATATATAATGTGCTTAAAATTATATATTACATTCCTTATGTATGATTACAAATATACTGTTGGTAGTCCTTTGACATATTGGACTGAAAGAAAAACATTTCTGTAGGAGTTGCAATAGGCATCTGTTTTCAGATGTACTGATTTGACTGTCTTTCTGAGCTTACCTATCTAGTAATTACAGTGATGAGTGTTCTTTTTCTCTTCAAGGCAAATCGGGAACTTGAGGCACTGGAAGAAGAAATGTTACTAATGCAAGAAGCTGCAAACTTGTTTGAAGTGGTTGTTCCAGATTACAAACAAATGAAACAATGCCGCAAAGAAATACAGTTGCTGAAGGAAGTGTGGGATATTAACATTTATGTTATAGTAAGAGGTTTTGTTATTTAAGAAAGTATTACAGAAAGAAAATTTATTCTGAATTCTGCTGTATTTACACTTTTATATAAAACGTTTTAGATCTGACATACTTGTTGAATTTTGTTGTTAACGCTTAACATTTTTTTTTAAAAGACAGATGCCACATTTTAAAGAAAATATTGAGATAAAAATATTGCTCTACTCTATTTTAATTAAATCGATCCCCAAGCATGAAATCTTAAACTGAAGTTATGATCATAATGATATGTGATCAGTGACAAAAACAACAACTTGAAAATAACATTGTTAAAGTAGTTAAATGCAGAAAGCAAGAAAATTCAATGTTAGGTTAAAGGAAATTCAGTGTTAAAACAGTCACAGAAACGCATTTACATCAGTAAATTTGAAAAGAATCGTAAAAAGTCATAAGTCCCTTAATTCCATCTTCTTAACTTTACCACACCTTGTACCTTGTACAGCTTTGAAATTTGCCCCCACAGAAGTCGGTGTCAAAACTTGCATTGAATTCAGTGGGGCCATAATTTCAGGACATCAGGTCTCCATAAAGGTCTGTAAACTCTTGACGTCCTGAGTAAGAAAGAGCATGAGAGAGAATGAAATGAGTAGGGTATTTTATGAGGACTGACAAGAGAAGACAAGAGGCAGATTTTGCAAGCTGAGGTGGAGCATATCAATCTTGGAGGTGGATCAAGACAATGGACAGATAATGTAGAAACTGATCTGTAAGAGATAGGTGAAGATTCTATAAGGTGGAAGAAGCTATGCAAAACAGGAAGAGATGGAAGGCTTTAGTTAAATTGATTATAACCCCTCAAGATCTATGAAACCAGAGAGAAGGAGAAAGGAGCATAATTTCACCCTACGTGTCATTTAGGGGAATCACAATGTTACAACTACTGCACTACACATGTTTAAACACTTTGGGCATTTGTACATGTGATGGTCATCACAATGTACATGTGACGAAAATGTCATTTGTGTGGCTTAATGGCATCACACATTACATATGCACCAGTTCGGGGGGTTTTAGATAAGTTTGCACTGTTGAAAACTAAATTGCATCCAGACAGTTGCATTGCAGCTGTCCACTCACCCCGCAGCTGCAGGAAAGGCAGGCAGGCTCCACTGAAAAAAAGGAGTGGGCCCCTCGCTGTTTCTGCTTTCAGCAGGCACCTGATCCTATTTTTGGCAGACCTGCCCACCTCTGCTGTGACCAGGGGGAGAGTTGCTTGTGGGCTGAGTGACTCCTGAGCTATGGGGGACCCTGGTGCTTCTCTCTGCAGCAGCGGCACCCCCCAGAGCTGCCCAGACAGGTTGCTAGCAGGCTAGGTGCTGCCCCAGCTCAGAGGCATCACCCGGACCAGTCCAACATTTCCCTGAACCCGCCTGCTGGAAGCCCACTGGGTGATGCTTCCTGGGCAGGCAGGAGGGGCAGATGGATTGGGCTGGGTCCTGTCTTTGAGCTGGTGCAGCACCTGGCCTGCTAGCAGACCACCGGGATGGCCCCAGGAGCTGCCACTGCCACTGAGGAAAGGACCACAGCCAGGCCCCGCCCCCGCCATCTCAGGGGCCGCTCAACCTGCTGGCAGCTCATCCCCCGACCGTGGGCAGTCTCTGGTTCAAAAAAAAAAAAGGATCAGGCCCCTAGCCATAACGTGATGGAAAAATTGAAATGGTGGGTTTCAATTAAAAACCCACTGTTTCAATTTAGAGGTCATAGAATAAAACCCTCAGGACTAAACCCCCGTCACATGTATAAGTGCCCTTTATCCCTTGACAGCCTGGAGGGTGTACTTTAGCATTTCACCTGTGACTACAGAAATCTTAAACTATTTCCACAATGATCTATGCAACAGAGAATATATATCCTAATCGCACCAGTACACACTTTGGTGTCTCACAATGGGTAGTAAAATAGGGAGAGGCTAAGTTATAATATAGAGTACACCTTTCATATTGAATGGTATTATGTGTAGTAGCCATGTTATGCATTAGAACAGTAGGTTATATAGTTTATCTTGAATTTTAAAGACAAAGCTTACAGGTAAAAGTGAACTACTGAGTACTGAACTATAAATGTAGATCCACTTATATAAAGCTGCATGTTGTAAAGTTCTACTTGCCTGAAGAAAGCAGTTGTCTGATAGACAAATAATAAAATGGTTAGGGTTTTTCTCCCTTCATCATGGTTAATTTAAAGGCCACGTGAATACATTTTTGTGGCAGTTTATGTTAATTTCATAGCTGTGTGTGGATATTCTGTGTAGAGATAAGTCATATGTATGCAAGTAGAGATACTGATGCAGTACTCTGTGTACATACAGACTACATGTGCATGCAGCTTTTCTGGCCTTATCGGAGACTAAGCATGAAATGCTTTAAATACCTGCTTTCAGCTTTACACTTGAAGAAGATGGATTATTTAGTGTAGTTTTGGTAGGGGTGATGTGGCTTGGAAAGTGAAGTTAATATTTCAAGAACTGGGGCTATCAGTGAATGCTAGACCTACCTATTATACCCATTTATCTATTATATGGCATTAGCTTGTTTTCACCAAATGTTGTTGACACTTTTATCTGTACTTACTGTTTCAGAGCAGCATTGATGATTGGACTAAAACCCAGTGGAGGCAGATTAATGTGGAACAGATGGATGTAGAGCTCAGAAGGTTTGCCAAGGCAGGTTCCATATCTGTCCATTTCTACAATTTATCTATCACTGGGCCACCCCTTTCTTACTCTCCCCACCCACTTTGTGATGTTGTGGAGTATTTGTTGCTTTTGTCCAAGCTGAACATTCTGGAACTTTTTTTTTTCTTTATAATTTAATACTCTGGCTTAGGTTTATATCCCTGTGGATGTACATGGTACAATCATGCTGTCACTTTTTTTAACTGAAGCAGTATATAAAAAAATAAAAAGGGCAAGGTTTATATGGCACTTCAGCAGATGAAAGACATTAGTTTAAAGGCTGAAAGTGGAATTTGCAGAGGTGTATATGCTCTCTTCTGAGAGAGAGTTCTGCAATTCTTAAATACTGGAACCTGCAGGAGATATTCATTCACAAAATGAGGGCATTGCCTATACATGAGATCTTTTTTTGGTGTAAAATATCAATAACGCTTTGAGGGTAGATGGTCTAGAGAGGGGAGGGGGTATGTTCATACAACAAAGGAAGACTGGACAGAAAACAGGAGAATTGACAGGACCATAATGTAGGCCTCTGCCTTTATACACGGTATAAAGCATTGATCTACCTTACGTGTGAAAGAGAGGCTCAGTGGGCCTGACTCCTCTTGCCTCCCATATTAATTTAGTTCTGAACAGTGTCATCATTACCCCTGACTTTGACTTATGTGAGAGAGGAATTAGATTCACAGTAAATCCCTCTGTTTGTTTTAAACCATAGTTTTAAAATTATTATTCGACTCTGGCTAACTGCTAAACAACACTTAAGTCTGCTGCATTTTTGTACCTGTGTGGCCCCTCATGTCAGGGTATTGACTCTTACAGGCAAGTAGTTTTCACAGATTCATAGATTTGATGAATGGTTTGCAAGGTGGATAGAAAGCTGGTTGTATCATCGGGTTCAACCAGTTGTGATCAATGGCTCAATGTCTAGTTGGCAGCTGGGATCAAGTGGAGTGCCTCAGGAGTTGGTCCTGGGGCTGGTTTTGTTCAATATCTTTGTTAATGATCTGGAGGATCAGATGGATTGTACCCTCAGCAAATTTGCAGATGACACCAAGCTGGGGGTAGTTGTAGATATGCTGGAGGGTAAGGCTGAGATTCAGAGTGACCTAGACAAATTGGAGGATTGTGCCAAAAAAAGTCTCATGAGGATCAACAAGGACAAGTGCTAAGGCCTGAATTTAGGATGGAAGAATCCCATGCAACAGGCTTGGAACCAACTGGCTAAGCAGCAGCTCTGCAGAAAAGGACCTGGGGGTTATAGTAAACAATAAGTTGGATGTGAGCCAATAGTATGCCCTTGTTGCCAAGAAGACTAACAGCATACTCGACTGCATTAGTAGGAGCGTTGCCAGCAGATTGAGGGAAGTAATTATTCCTCTCTATTTGGCCCTGGTGAAGCCACATCTTGAGTATTGTGTCCAGTTTTGGGTCCCACACTACAGAAAGGATGTGGACAAATTGGAGTGAGCCCAATAGAGGGCAACAAAAATGGTGAGGGGGCTGGGGCATATGACTTATGAAAAGAGGCTAAGGGACCTAGGCTTATTTAGTCTGGACAAAAGAAGACTGAGGGGGGGATTTGGTAGTAACCTTTAACTACCTGAAGGGTGGTTCCAAAGAAGATGGAGCTAGACCATGGGTGGGCAATTATTTCAGCTGGAGAGTTCCTTAACAACTTTTGTCAGCTGTTGAGGGCTGCAAGGGAAGCCCCACCCCTTGACAGGTGCCCCACTCCCTGATTGCCATCTTGGGACCAGAAGTTCTGCCCCTAACTCCTTACATTTGCGACCAAAAGGCCCTCCCCTAGGCCCTCCCCCCCACAAAGTACTCCTTTTGGGGGGGGGGGGGGGGGGGCTGCCATCTTGGAACCGGAAAAAAATAAATCGTATAATAAAAAATCAACATCTACTATACCGTATTTAATTTTATTACCAAAAAAATGTTTGTTCTGATTTATATGCATTTGTATAGTGTGTATAGAGGCAATTGCATAATAGCTCCAAATAAAGTCTTACGTGTGTATATTGTATGTGGGGAAGAGGAGGGTGTGGGTGCGTGTGGAATGTATGCGGAGGGGAGTTAGTGCAGGGATGTGGATGTGTGTTTGGGTGGTTGCACTCGGGGGGGGGGGGGGGGGTTTTGGGGGGGGGGGGTGCATGTGGGGCTGCTCCAGCTGAGTCCCAAGACGTGCATGTAGTGGCACAGAGCTGATTCGGCCTGTCCTGGCTTAGCTTGATCCACTTGTATGCATCTTCGAGCTGAGATGGACCAACTCCGAGCCAGCAGGTAGGGCTCCCAGTGCTGCAGGCAGGAGCCACACACCATTGGACTGGGCCAGCTCCATGCCTCCACCTAGGGCTTCCATCATTCCAGCAGGGAGCCACACATCAAGGCATGGAGCCAACCTGGCCCAGCCCAGTAGTACACGGAGTGCCAGGAGCCACATATGATGGCACTGAGCTTGCCCAGCTTGATTGTGTGGCTTCCCACTCCTCTTGGTTGGAGTCATGGGGAGTTGTGGGCCATTGTGCCAGCCTGGCTCTGTGCCTCTATGTGGGGCTCCCAACTGGGGTGCCAGGATCCCCATGGAGGTGGAAGCACAGAGTCAGCCTTATCCAATGGCATGCAACCTTCTAAAAGCCTGTGCCTTCCGCTGGCTTTCAGAGGGGCAGCTGTGGGCTGGTAATAATTGTCTTTTGAAGGGGCCCCGCAGGCCAGATGGAATGGCTTGGCAGGCCAGATTTGGCCCGTGGGTCATATTTTTCCCACCTCTGAGCTAGACTGTTCTTAGTGGTGACGGATGACAGAACAAGGAGCAATGGGCTCAAGTTGCAGCAAGGGAAGTTTACGTTAGATAAAAACTTTCTCACTAGGAGGGTGGTGGAGCATTGGAGTGGGTTACCTACAGAGGTGGTGGAATCTTCATCCTTGGAGGTTTTTAATGACAAAGCCTTGGCTGTAATTATCTAGTTCAGGATGGTCCTGCTTTGAGTACCGTAACTTTTTATGATTCTTTTTCAGAGGATGAATTGTTATTTTTATTCTGTTTCTTAGGAAATGTGGTCATTAGATATGGAAGTTCGCTCCTGGGATATATACATAGGTCTAGAGTTAACTGTGAAGAACCTGATGACATCATTGAAGGCAATATCAGAGTTGCAGAATCCTGCAATAAGAGAGAGGCATTGGTATCAGCTCATGAATATGACAGGTGTAAGTATTCACCTATCCAATGGCATCTCCTACCACCAATATAGCAGAGTATATTTACAGTACAATACAGTAAAGTGACTGACATCAAGTATATTAAATTTTTAGTGCCAAGAATGAATGAACTATATCTTGTTGGGACAGAGAGAGGGGGGTTTTGAATGTCTGGATCATTAGAATACTTTCTGCTTTAGGAAATGAATTTATAGTTTTTACTCAAACAACATGAAACCTAATTTATAATATTTTTAAAGATCAATATTGGCCTCAAAGGAGACCAGTAAAAGAAGTGGGGGGGTTGTTTTTAAATTGTGTTTGAAGGGAGCCATTAAAGGTAAAATTCTGGTTCTCTGTTTGCATCTAAGAGTACATCCCTACGAGCATGCACATGTGGTTTGTGGCACCTCAGAGCAGTTTGAGGCATGTTTACCCATTCGCCAGGCTGCATATTTGCAGCGCAGTGGCAAAAGTAGATATCGGGAGCTCCCAGTATTAAAAAAAAAATATACCCCACGTTTAAAGAAAGCAGCATAGTGCACACAGCAGCAGTATGTGCCATCAGAAACCAGAGCCTGGCCAGGCAGAGCAACACTCTGACTGCCGACCAGGCTCCAAGTGGCCAACTCAGCACTGCTGCTGCCCCAGGAGGTCCCCAGGACCCCTAACAAGGCTGCTGGGAGCAGCACAGGTGCTGGCCGCAGCCTCCCCTACCCAACCTGGGTCATTTTGCCAGCAGCAGAATGCGTGTACAAGAGGTGTGCCTTGGAACAAATAACAGTGGCACAAACATGTGCTTCTGTATGTGCATGCCTGTTGGGACATGCCCTAAATGGCAGCTTTCTAATCATGTATGTGCCAAAAATGCCACTTACACATAAGTAGCTATTGTTTCCTCAGTACTATGGAAATATAAGTGTGTACATGCACACTGAGCATACACAACAAGCTATACACTGGCTGGGCATGCACATAGTTACATGTGTACACTCATTTTGAATGCATACCTTTGTCTAGGTCACAAAAATGTAGTTAGTCGAAAACCCAGGGTTAGCAGGTGTTAGACTGAAGAGAAGGGCCTATATTGTCTGCCTGCTGATCCTGGGATTGCTGCTGAGAAATAAGACCTGCCCATTCATTCCCACTCTGTGTACCCAAGCCAACAATTAGCATTTCAGGTTTATAGTAGTCCTGAGATCTCTCTGCTCCTTGTCTTTGCTTTCAGATTCTCCTGAGGAATATTGTAAGACATAACTATTGCCTAGTTCCAGGCTTGGTTCTTGTTTCTCTGAAGCAGTCCCAGGCTTAGGGGACTGACTGGCCATGTGAGCATGACTAAAGGGTGTACTACTAAAAGCTGCAAAAATGGGTATCTAGATGAGTTAAGATGCTGACACTAGACAGTCAAGAGAGAGGGAAGGCAGAAAAGGAAATGATACATACATATTCTACAGATGTCAAGGATAGACCTGATCAGAAAGGAAAATCCAATTTCACTGGAAAAAATTAAGATTTGTTTTTGGCTTGCAAGGTTAAAAAAAAATGAACGCTGTTTTTCAAAGAAGAATAGATTTTTAGGGGTGGTTTTTAAAACATGACTTTTTTCTTTTCTAGTTTTGCCAAAATTTCTCTGAAAAAAATATTTTTTCCATATGAAATACCAGTTTTTATGCAAATAAGTGCAAAAGAATTAATCATGTCAAGCAGTATGTCTTCTGAATTACAAATATGAGAACAAAGTACAATTTTAAGAGAGCTGAGTAATTGGATTAAATCAAGACAATAGGAAGACTGAATGTTTAGAGTTCATGAAAGGATGGGGCATAACAATGAAGAAGAGGTAGTGATAATATAGCACAAGAAAATGGAACTTCTAGAATAGTAATTGTATATAAGCAGTTCCACTAACTTCAGTGGAAGCTGTACAAACCAATCTTAATTTGCCTTTACTTGCTAATTCTGAAGATTTACCAATAGCGCAGACAAGCAAGCATATAAGTATTTCTGTTGCCTTCTGCATAGAGCCTTACTAGTCCCAAAATATCTGTTTTTCCCTGAGTTGAAAGACAAAAACAAAAAGTCACAAAAGAATTTTAAATGTTTTTTGTAAGAATATTCTTAAACCAGTTTCTTTAAAATTGACATTGTTTTTGTATCTTTTTTCTTCTAATGATAATACATAGTTACCATACAAATGACAAAAGCTTAGCTGTAATCCTTAGAAAAAGTGAAGATCTGTAATGGGCAGCAAACCTTCCTGCCATGAAAAGCATGTGGGCAGTTTCTGAGTCTGACCCGTTAGAGAATGGATGTTGATATTGGGCAGCAATCTCCAAACAGGATGAGCTTCTGTGCTCATATGGATGATGTAATATAAAGAACAATGATTGTCTTAAATTTTAAATTTTTTTATACCTTAACTTTGATACTCTTATGCAGAGGCGGGCAATTATTTCAGGCGGAGGGCTGCTTACCCAGTTTGGCAAGCTGTTGAGGGCTGCATGGGTAGACCCACCCCTTTACAGGTGCCCCGCCCCCTAGTCACCATTTTGGGACCAATTTCCCAGGGCCAGCACCAGTGGGGCCCAGAACAGGGTGCAGACTGTCTGGGGTCTTTGGAGCTGGGCTGGGCTGCACCAGCAGGGAGAGGAGGGAGCTGGCCCGGCTCCATAGAGCTTCTGCCTTCTGGGAACCTGTACCCCTGCTGCTGTGCTCTGGGCCCTGCTGGCACTGGCCCCAGGACACCATGTGGGATCCACGCTCCTGTACCCGTTCACTCCCAGTATCCCCCAGCCCCACAGTACAGGTGGGGGGGGGGGGCAGCATGCAGCCCTGACCCCCTGCTCACTGGCAGAAAAGGAGCTGGTGCTGAGTGCGGGGAAAATTGGCCCCTCCCCTGCCCTATGGCTGGTGCTCCCTCCCAGGCAGCTCCACATGAGCTGCAAGTGGCTGCAGTGCGGGGCACCAGCCACGGGGTGGGGAGGGGCCGCTTTTCCCCTGTGCTCAGCACCAGCTTGAACCCTGCCCCCATGGCCAGCCCGGGCCCCGCACCAGCTCCGGGCTTGCCCGTCGGGACTGCTCTGCGGCTGCAGCAGTTGCAGCCCTTCCACTTCCTGTGTCAGGGGGTGTTTTTGCCACCACCGCCTCTGTACTGCCCAGCACATGAGCTCCGGGCAGGCAGCAGCAGCAAACGCAGCTCTGCGGCTGCAGCAGTTGCAGCCCTTCCACTTCCTGTGTCAGGGAGTGTTTTTGCCACCACCGCCTCTGTACTGCCCAGCACATGAGCTCCGGGCAGGCAGCAGCAGCAAACGCAGCCTGGCGCAGCAAGTGGGGGGGCTGCAGCTGCTGTCACTGTGTACAGCTCCGAGGGGCGAGCCCAGAGCCAGTGCGGGGCCAAGGCTGGCAGCAAGGGCAGGTTACAAGCTGGTGCTGAGCGTGGGAAAAACATCCCCTTGCCTGCCCGGTGCCCTGCGCTGCAGCCGCTTGCAGCCCACCTGGGGCTGCCTGTGCCTGCTCAGTAGAGCCCCACACAGGCTGTGAGTGGCTGCAGCAGGGAGTGCCAGTCATAGGGCAGGTGAGAGGCCGCTTTTCCCCCAGCCCCTTCCCTGCCCGGGGTCCTTCTCTGCCCCCTTACCTGAGTTTCCGGCATGGCGCAGCCACATGGTCCCAGGCCAGAAGCCCCTGCTGGGGCTTTCAGCTGGTGGGGTGGGTCCGGGCAGGCCCTGCTGTTGCAGGAGCCCTCCGGTCTTCTCCTGGGTCCTACTGCCCTTGGTTCCTGTCATTTTTGACAGGAACCAAGGACAGAGAAATATTAATTTTCAAAATCTCATAGGGGGCCGGCAGGCCAGATAGAATGGCCTCAAGGGCCCACCCCTGCTCTTACGGATCTCAATCAGATGTTTTATTTATTTATTTATTTTTAATTATGATATGGCTTTTCTCTTGTTTTCTTATTTTTAATTATGATATGGCTTCTCTCTTGATTCTTGACAGGTCAATTTTTCAGTAACTGAAGACATGACCTTGTCAGATTTGTTGGGATTACAACTGCATACAGTGGAAGATGAAGTCCACAGTATTGTGAACAAAGCAGTGAAAGAGCTGGGTACTGAAAAGGTACAGCAGCCCCATTTCTCTTTCTGTTACATTTAGCTGCAACAGTCCTTTTTACTGTTTATTTAAGTAGATTGAAAAATGTATCCATAAAGGAACAGTCAGGGTTGCAACAGTTTTATTTGATATAGACAGTGAACAAAATAAACTGAATAGATAGACATTGAATTAGCCTTCTGTGCGTGGTACATTTTATCAAAACTGTTTGAAATCTAATTTAATTTTATTTCTCAACCTAAAATATTAAATTTCACTATACCTAAAGTGTTATTGCCATGGTTTATACTCAGATTCTTACAGAGATCAGCCAAACATGGGCTTCCATGGAGTTCTGTTATGAAGAGCATCAGAGAACGAGGACTCCTTTATTAAAATCTGATGAACAGCTTTTTGAAACATTAGATAACAACCAAGTAAGACTTTTTTATTAGTAGTATATAATTAGCATTACTCTTGGTGTATTTTACTAGTTTAAACTCCCAGAATTTTCCAGAATTTTTATTTACAGTGAATCTTATTTGGCCCAGATGTTAGTCTATAAAATTATATGTGTGCAGCCTAACTACGTATATTTTAAGGAAAATTCCTGTCTCTGTGTAGGAGTTTGCAAAATTACAGCTCCCTGGGCTTATATTTTCCTAGATTCTTTGAAATCATTTAATAATATGCTGTCCATTTGCAAGGCTGAAAAATGTCTTTTGTTATCATATACAGTAATAATAAGTTAAAAGAGAATTTGTAAAACTTTTTTAGCTATACCTCCTATGCTTGATTAGTTATTTTGATTAGTGCTTTTTTCTGTTGTTGTTGTTTTTCTAGGTTCAGTTGCAAGCAATTCTGCAAAGTAAGTACGTGGAATATTTCACTGAACAAGTCTCAATCTGGCAAAAGAAACTGAATATGGCAGACTCAGTCATTTTCATTTGGATGGAGGTTCAACGCACGTGGTCTCACCTAGAAAGTATCTTCATTGGCTCTGATGATATCAGAAGTCAGCTTCCTGAAGATGCTGAAAGATTTGATGGAATTGATTCAGACTTTAAAGTGAGCCGACCTATCTTTAGCATGAAAATAAAATAAAAATAATGACATACTTCATCCTTACTTTTATTTTAGGAAAAATGGTGTCAGTTCTGTCATATCCATTTAAATATGATTTGTATTTGAATGTTAACGTGGATGGCTAGATATATATTTTTTTAAATGAACAAGAAATCCTAATGGTACAAGGATCACACATGATCCACTTTGCCCAATGTAGGAAATAGTACATTGCTGCACTATCTTAGAATCAGTCCAGGGGAAGACTTGTGATTTGGATGTATTTCCATCCTTGGAAGGTGGTAGTAATTGGCAACTAATACCAGTTACTACCACATGCTGAGGCATCAACTTAGCTACCCTCTGGTAAGCTTCGGCAGGAAATGGTTTTTCCATTTTAGGGCCTTGTTGCACCTTACACTGTAAGCTGCACAAATCTTGATCAGTGTTAGGTTGGAGTCTGGAGCAATCACACCCTTAGTCTTGAAACCTTCTCTGACTGCCCCCCACCTGCAAAGCTGTGACTTGACATGAGAGGTCTAGTGAGCAGGGGCAGGACTAGGAGCTGTAGCTCTGAGTTGCCACTGCAAGGCTGGTGAGTCAGGACAGGCTTCTATTTCTGCTCTATGGGCAGAGGCATGCAAGATACTGGAGGACTTCAACTTGGGTGGCACATCTGTGGGGAGTGGTTGCATCTTAATGGAACAGGAGCTTGGTAGCATGGATCAGAGAGAATTCTGCTGTGGAGTGGCGTAACTTTGAGCTGCGTAATGAGTGCTGAAAACCACTTTTAATGTGCAGACACTTAAACAAAAAAAAAACATTTAAAAATCCAGGGGTTAAGAGCTCCAGGAGCCACCCAAAATTACTGTGTAACAAGGCCCTAAGAGATTTTTTTAATGTTTTCTATTCTGTCCCAGGAAGATGGAGGGTGGGAGGGACAGAAAGAGAGAGGGGAGGCATATCCAGAGCAACTGCCCTAACCACCTGGCAATTGGGTATTCTGGGGTGAGGCTTTTTCAGTATATGCTATATAAATCATTACACCTTGTTTTAAATAATAAAAGATCTATTAGAGCAAGGACTTAAACATGGGTCTCTCTATTCCAAATGATTGCCCTAACCCTACTGGATCATAGATTTGGTCCCTGGTCCAATGACTGCTTAAGTAATTCAACAAGGTAGAAAAACTTCAATAAGAGCTAGCAAGGGAGACCATTTCAAGTCCTTGATTTAAGTCAGACAGAGCAGTGATTGTAACATTTGACTCGTATGTACAACCAAGTACCTAAACCATTAGGCATGGGCTATTTCAGGGAAGGCCTCTCTTTCTTTAGTTTTGAGTAGTAATAGTCTAAACTTGAGAAATCTTTTCCAGTAAAAGTGTCCTTGAAGTTGGAATGTTCCCATGAAAAGTTCAGTTTCAATAAATGTTCATTTCCTAATGACAAACTCTGTTTGTCAATAGTTTCCAGTTAGCTCTACCTCCTTGTACTTTGTCCAAGCCCAGGTACAGGTTTGAATGATGGGAGTACCAGACTTACAATGTCAGGTTGCCCCCTATGCACCTAGATACCACAAGAGAAACTTTCTCCCATTATGGTTGCCTAGGCTGGAAAATAGACTGGTCCATAGTAGACAATGTTATCCATTATATCCAGTAGAGGTTCTGTGTTGGAAACATGGTGGTGAGAAAGAGATTCACAAGTTTAAATATAAAAGGGAAGTAAACACACACATCTCCTTTGAAGTCTCCATTTTAATCTTTTGGTCTTGCATAGTCATTTACAACAGTGAAAAGTGTGTGTGTGTGTGTGTGTGTGTGTGTGTGTGTGTGTGTGTGTGAAATGCTGCTGTCTGATTTGGTAATAATTTGCACCTTCTTTTCCTTCTCTTTGCAAAAAGGTAAATGACCACACAGACACAAGACTGGGCTATGAGGTGTCCTATCATAGTTCAGTCCGAACAAAACAAGAATGAGTTAATTCTTTCTTCTATCAGTTGTCACCCTTTTTTGTTACAAAGGATCAAAATTATGAGGAAAGGGCAGCAGTAGTTGCTTTCTTGTGTATAGTAGTCTATGTTTATTCTATGTTTCTTTCAGATTTAGTCTACAAGGTTATACAATGAAATAACTAACATTTTCCCCTTATTTTGTGCCAGAAGAAGAAATAAAATGATCAGTTCCTCTCTCTCCCAGCTCTTGTGTTTCTTCATTGACATATTTTAGTAAATGGTTTGAAATGGAAAGCTATTGTTTGAAATCCAGGTGTTCTGATTAATACTTCTGCACTTGCACACAGGAATTAATGATTAACACAGCAACTATAAAAAATGTATTAGAAGCAACAACCAAACCAAATCTGCATGGAAAACTTGAAGCTTTACAACACAGGTAAGAGTAGTTATAAAGTTAAATATTAATTCAAGCAGGCTGATTGAATACATACTTAAGTAGGTTTGTTGTTTGGTTGGTCTGGGGTGGTTGGTCTGTTGTTTTCTTTTATGGTGCATGTATGTAAACAATGTATTGTTTGTGAGGACTTTATCTTCTTTTTTTGATGTGTGGCTGATATTTTACATCTCTCGGTCAAACACTGCTGCAATTTAAGATGGTAACCATTTCAGGCACTTTTTTCAATTGTTTATGGCTCAGATAATGTAAATGTGATTTATATTGCAATTTTTTTTTTAGATGTTTTAGTTTCGCTAATTTAATTTCAATTCTCCCCACTCATCACTTCCTGATTGATCTTAGGAGCATCTTCCTTTGAAGTTCAGAGCAGGAGCACAGTTCTGGGTCTGAATGGAACTGTGCCTTTTTCCTCCATTAAATCTTTCTACCTGAGGGAGCAGTGAACACTTCACAGGTAGCCTGCTACTTGATTAGGGAAAGAATAGTAGAGGTAGGAAGCCAAAGGAATTAGCTCCTGGTTTAGTAGCATCACTGTTGCTATCATTGTCTTGTAATAAACAGCCAATTTGTGAGGTGGGCTGCTTCTTCCCTAAAGCATAGGCATGGGTTTTTCTCAAAGCAGCTTCTTACTTAATTAGCTGCCCAAAATCTGACTATGTAATTAACTATGTGATTAGCAACATATGTTCTTATTTTTGCCACTCTTCACATATAGAAACTTATGTATAATCAGAGAAGCAGTCACTTTTCTTAATAGTTGCTAGTTAGAATAATAAAATCATAGAAAAATAGAGCTGGGAGAGACCTCAGAAGGTCATCTAATCCATCCGCATATTTGACACAGGATCTTTCTTGTCTAAACCATCCCAGCTAAGTATGTGTTTTAAATTACTCTTAAAACTGTCTAGAGAACTTGTTCCAATGCTTAACCACTCTCATACTTAGAAAGTTCTTCCTAATATTCAACCAAATTTTCTTGTTGCAATTTAAGACCATTTGTTCTGTCCTTCATGGACACAGAGAATAGTCCAATATCATCTTTAAAACCACTCTACATACATTTGAAGGCTTTAATCCCCCTCTTAGTCTTCTCTAAGCTAAATAATTCCAGTTCTTTCATTTTTCTTTGTAAGTCTTTCTAAACCTCTAACATTTGTTCCTCTCAGCTAGACTCTTTCTAGTGACATCTTTCTTGAAGTTCAGGGCCTGAAACTAGACAGAGTGTACTCCAGGTGAGGCCGCATAGGGGTTAACAGAGTGGAAGAATCACTTCCTTTGAATTGGATGCAGCACTTCAGTTAACACATCTCAGTATACATCCCAGCTTTTTCCCTGCCCCTCCTCTTTAGACAACATGCACCCATCCATGACAAAATTCCAATCAAGGGAACTATCCCACAAAGTCTCAGTTACCCCAGTTGGATCATAAATTGTGTGTTTGTGCCAGGACCTCTAATTCTTCTAAATCATGGTTGTCCAACTCATGGCACCCACTCAGCTGCTGCTTCTCCCATTACTCCAGCTACAGCGAGAGCCAGGCTTTTTGGCTCCCCCTGCCTCATCTAGATTCTGCCCCTGCTCCAGGGGCTTGAGTGCTACATAGGCCACAGTGCTGGGGGAACCCACAGCTGGGGAGCTGAGGGTGAGGGCTGGGGCACATGCATAGTGTGGTATACTGAAAGGGTAACCACATAGCATGTGGCCCAAGTTGGGGAGGGGGCATGCAGCCCCCAGCCACTTAGGAGTTGGACAGCTGTGCTCTAAGTGATACGTTTTTGTAAAGCGTGTTAGAGTACATAGAAGTTAATTCTCTTTATACAACTTAAAAAAAACCCCTTAGGATGTACTAGTGTTGTTGGTCATTCATGGACATGTTTAAACAGCATTAAAGTTCTGTTTCTTTTTCAGGCTTTCTCTTTGTGAAAAATCTCTTGCTGAATATTTAGAAACCAAGCGCTTAGCTTTTCCTCGGTTCTATTTCATTTCTTCAGCTGATTTGCTTGATATTCTTTCGCAAGGGGCCCAGCCTAAACAGGTAATATTTCCTGAATGTTTTTAGATTATGTCAAAAGAAAAACTATTTTGTAAAGAAGTGTGAGAAAAGAAGTAATTGTATATGGCTACTCATCACTGAAAATGTGACTTCACTTTTGATGAAGCGTAAACCTTTTTATGCAACACAACAGCTTTCTTTTTTAACAAAAGTTTTGTAAGTGCTTAAACTGGGAAAGATAGAATTCGTTATGGGAGGAAGAGTTGCTTTGATCATCAAGTCTAATTTTCCTCTGGCCCAGAATTTGTTAGAGATCAAATCTAAGGCATGCCATGTGTGATGATGATAACCAGCGCCAAAAGATCTGTGGTGTTTGCTAGATTGTCACTGACTGAGCAGCTGACTAGGAATGTTTATATAACCATCTTTGTTTGCCTCCCTTAAACAATGATCTGCCAGGTTTTGTGACAGTTAAAGACCCATTTATACTGAAGCACCTGCACTTGAATATTATTCAGAAGCTTTACACTGTGTTATCTACAAGCCAGATGACATCCCAGTGCTCAGTAACCACCCTTCTGTGGCCATTAATTCTCAGAATATCAGAATTATTTGTGTCTTGGGCAAAGCTTCTGTAGAAAGGATGTAATGCTTAACACAAGGCTTGATATTTTGCCATAGAATAAAGTACTAGTGAGACTAAAATAATAATCCTTTCAGTACAATCACAAGTTCTTTTAATTTCCTAACACCATTAAACCTTAGCAATTTGTTTCATCCTTAAAACTGTACAAACCAGTAGAGAAGTGAAGGCAACCCAACATGACTGAATTCTCTTCTCATGGTAGAGGTGGACTCTCCACATCAGGACTGTGCAGGGCAGCAAGGAAGTACTTCCACTATTGTTTTTCAAACCCCACCAGTTCTGTGGATAGTGGACTTCAACCTTCATGGCTATCAGGTTGATACTTATTACAAGGCACCTTTTTTAAGGACTGAGAGAGGCAAGGACGTGTGTACATGTGTAGTTATGGTGCCTGAATAAACCGCGGAGCTTATTGCTCCTGGGTGTGCTGTTTTTATGATGCACTCGGGAGCAATTTACTTCGGAGCAATAAGCTCCACATTTTATTCAGGCACAGCACATGGAGCTGGGGTGGAGTAGCCCACATGGAGTGGCAGGGGGATCTGGGGGTTAGCCTGCCAGCCCGGGGCTACTCCCCCCAGCTCAGTGTGCTGCAGAGGGGCTGGCTGGTGCATGGGGGAGTTTCAGGCTGCCCCCTCACTGAAACATCCTTGTGCATCAGCCAACCGAGCAGCATCTACATGTGCACTGCTGTGGAGTTTTTACTTTGCAGCAAAATAGTACTTGTACTTACAAATACTATCCTGCTGTGGAGTAAATTAGTTTACTCCAGCCTAATAGGGGCACACATGTAGATAACAAGTTACTGCACAGCTAATTACTCAGCTGTGCAGTAAACATCTTGTGTAGACATGCCCACTGTGTAGTTAGGATAAAGTTAGAAAAGTATTTGATTCTAAGCATCTTTTTGTCAGATCTCTCATTTTTTAGATAAGCATTTAAATATAGGTTATATATCTTGGGATCTTCATCTTGCATTCAAATGTATGCCTGCATATGCGTGAAGTCCTATATGATGTTAGGAGGGGGAAATAGAACAACCAGCATTATTCACTAACTTACATACTTCATGTGTGCTTCCTATTCTAGCAGCTAAGAGTGATATATCACTATTATCAATAGTGATAATGAAGCTTCACTGCTATCCTTCAACCTTTCCACTGGTCACACTCCTAAATACCCATACATTGGCATCTGGCAGCGAACGGTAGTGTAAAGTTTTTACGCCAACCTATGGCATTTGGGAAAGTCCTTTGTCACTTTCTCTGCTTGAAACATAATGGCAATATTAATATGATAGAGAATTTGGCCTTTTGTTTTCTGTTTTCTTTCTGAGACCTGAGTCATCCTAGTACTGTTTTTATTCAGTATTTGGCTCCTGCCAAGGTCATTGAAAGATTTTTTGTGTTGATTGCATGCAGTTGTCAAAAAAAAGCAAATGCTTCATGTTTTCTGAATGCAGAATGACTTTGCTAATTTAGGAGAACTCAAGGTTATTGCTAAGAACTTGATAAGAAATAGTACTTCACTTAAACAGGAATGTGGAGGAAATGGAAAATCCAAGAAAATCCTAGGTGTGTGATCTTAAATCTGTGGTATATTCTGAATGCAGGTAACACGTCATCTTACTAAACTTTTTGACAATATTGCTGATCTCAAATTTGAAGACAAGGAAGAGAATCTAACAAATATTGTGTTGGGGATGTACAGTAAAGAAAAAGAATATGTCCAGTTCTATGCAGAATCTGAATGTGTTGGTCAGGTAAGCTAAGTTAATTTAAATTTTTTTCAAGGGAACATTTTTCTTTTTACTCAGATAAAAAATTAAATGTGTATCAAACCCTACTTCTCAGCTAAATGTATTGTATATTAGAGGGAATGCAGCTTCAGTGCTGTCTCCCCTGTTGTAGTGTAAATGGGAATAATTGATAGAGGTTCCAGTTCTATTGAGAAATGATCCTCCTGCCAGCATTTTGGGCTGGGAATCATCCACTATTCTGCATTTGTATGGTACTTAGGGCTCCGTTCCTGTTTGACTCCTGGGCTCTACTATGATGATCTCGCCCAGACCAATTAGTCATACTTCTAATTTAAATATGTATATCTATTGAAGATGATGCAGTAGCAACACTTTTATCTCCCTGTTAAGCTCAGTCTAATAATGGATGAGATGATGTCAGGGGTCATGTTTATTCCAGCTGCTTCCATGGAGAAAGATTTCTTCAATATCATGGTTCCTCAAGTGTTTTATTCCATTTCCTTTTAAAGACTGCCTCCTTAGACAGAGCATTCAGTTTCTCACTTGCATACTGACCACAACAGTTGATAAAACAGTATCTAAACTCATTGTTGAGATAGAAAAAACTGTTTCCTCTGAATGACCTGTTTAAAAAAAAAATGGAAATCCAACTATAGACTTTCTGGGCGCGTCCACACATTCATTAATGCGCTGTAATTGCAGTGCATTCAGTTTATATAAAAGAAAATGTAATAACCTGCAGTATCAGGTGCTAACTTAATGCGCCATAATTGGTGCAGATGAATGCTTTTGTGTGACATTCACTGCACATTAGACAAGTCTATTGTGTATTAGTGCACTAGCATGGTTTTTGTCAGCCACACTTATATGTATTAAAATTAGTCCAATGGGTGTTAAGCGTCTCATGTAGACATGCCTTCTGTGGATTTATTTTCTGTTCTGAAAAAGCTTTCAAGCTTTCAATGTTGTTGATTACATGTATCTATTTAATTTCTTTTCTCTATCTGTAATGGCAAATTCAGTTGATAGAGAATGGATGTACCAAATTACAAAGTTTCCTCCAGAAGTTTGTGTGATTAGTTTCACATGGAAACTAAAATTATTTAAAAAGTAGATTGGAAATGCCTCTTTTTCATGTTTATGCTCCTGTACCTATAAACCCCTTCTGCAGGGACAAAAATATAACTGTTGTAGCATTAAAGCAGTGGTGACCAACCTTTCTGGCAAGCATGACGCAAATTATGCACCACATCTCCCCCAAGTGCTACTCTGATTCCTTTCCCATGTCTGATCCACTGCTTTTTGTTCTCCTTCCTTCCCTGTGCTCACTGCCTAGTCTGCTGCTTTGCTTTCTGTTCCCTGCCCTATCTGCTGCTGTATTGCCTGCCCACTCCCCGATCTGCTGTTTTACAATTGTAGTATGTGGGCTGGAGGTGAGTCACAGGCTGCACACCCACATGCTGCACCACACCAGCACCTCTGAACCACTTGGCCATGAGCTCCCTTAGTCCTGTGGGCTATGACATGCCACTGTGTCCCCAGGGGTAGGGGCAACTAGCACAAGATAGAGGAGGTACAGAGAGCTTGGAGACTCTGGAAGCAGTAGCGGAAGAGTGATGGGGAGGAGCTGTGCCCAGACCAGGACCCCAGGAACTATGCATCCTATAGGCCATGTTTAAAGTTGTACGTCTTCAAAATGTAATTATTGGTGGTATGTTTCCAGCTAAGTAACTCTTTTGGACAGTATCAACTTGGAAGCCAGCAGATCTCAAAGTTTCTGTTATTGTTCTTTCAACATCTATGTTGCTTATTTATTAAAAGAGATCCTCCTCTTTAGCATTATCCCTTATTAGATTTGCACATGCTTAATCCTAATCTCCTGCTTGATAAGTAATTAAGCATACTTTAATTGAGATATTATGTCTTGGTTTGTGTCCTGTTTGCTCTTGACTTCCTCAGAAATGTGCCAGTGAGCTACCCGCAGGTAGTTTACTCTTTCTTAATCTGTGTGACAATTATTTCCAGTTCCTGTTTTGTTGATTGTTTGAGTCCCATCTCTGCCTCAGCAGCATAAATCAATAGTGTTACCATACACAGGAACAATAGTTTAATGCCCTGGTACAGTTTTGACCTTTTTTTCCTCTTACCTCTTTTTGTCTTTTATTCTGACTTTGCTTTGGCTGAACTGTGTTTCCCTCTTGCCTTGCCCCACTTCCCTGTAGATATCTCCCTTTTCCTTCCAAGGCAATTTCCCTGTTGTCTTCTCTGCTCCCCATAGAAACGCATGCTAATGAGAGAAAGAGCTTGCTTTCTTGGAGGCGTGAGCAACTGGTGCCTCCTGAGTCTGCGGGGGCACTCGCAGAAGCTGGCATCAATGGCGGGGACAGGGCTGGCGAACACCCGCAGAAGCTACTGGTGGCGTCAGCAGTGGGGACAGGGCTGGCGAGCACCCGTAGAAGCTGCCAGTGGCAGGGACAGCCCTGTAAGCAGGGGCACGTGCCCCTCTTTGTCCCCCTTATCAGTCCCCAATGCTTGGAGGTTTTCTTGACTGCTACATAAGCCAGCTGCCCTGTATAGATGAGGTGTTCTTCCATGAAAATCATATGAAAAACATAAGTCGTAGTCTAAAAATTGTTTGCTTCTATGGTTTCAGGAGCAAATTTGTAGTGGAAAGTTATGCAGCT